AACCGGTCAACTGTTGATTAAGTGTTATCCACGGGCAATAATCACAGTCATGCATTTACGACTCGTACGAAAGGTGCACAATATGTTTCAAGATTTCTATCGACATTTTTCTACCGCTATACACGATGGGTCAAGCTCGGAAAGGAAATACTTGATATACATCAAGTAACATTCATGGAATAACCCAGCAGCATCATTTCCTGTCGGCAAGGAATGATTTGGTATTTTTGTTGTCTAGGTTTCAATCGCGATGCCGGAAGCCAGTCAATTTAGTGCATCAGAAATTGGCTGTGGTGCTCATCCGTACTCAAATTCTTTATTGATGAATAGAACTTACAATTGAGATGTCAGACTCCAAAATATTTTGAAATATAATGTGCGGAATTTAGTTTGAATCTAATATTATAATGAACAAATGATGCTATGTTACCATGCAAAATCGTAGGAGCGTTTTATTTCAGTCACTCAGTAAATATTGATTGACAAAATAACCTATTGCTTTTATGTGCCTGATGATGTCGTAAATGTAATGGTGTTACACTTATGCCATTATAAAAGGTGTTTGACGTCCCTGACTTGCGTAGCAAACAGATCTATTAAGAAATCACCCAATGTGACTTGGAACTCCTTGATCAACAGCGGCTCATCACGTTCAACCTTGATCTTGACTAGAGGTTGTAACAGCTGAACCGCAAAGATATTAAAGGAACTTAATGTATAATTAAATTATATACGCACTCGCAGGTCAGCTACTCATGCGAACGTTTGAGTTATAATTCATGACTGAAGGAAGATGAGACTTACGTGAGTAGCGTGCCATGCCACCCATCGGTCTCGCGTTTATTTTAGTGCACAAGAAGTCCCACACGTGCCTTCTGGCATCATCACGAATTAGTTGCGCCTCCAGCGCGTCGTAAATATCAATTGCAAAGAACTGTAGACTAAGCATGCTCAGCAGGTCTTACTTTACGATTCGTAACCAGAAAGACTGCACTTGAAAAATTCTGATGTCATTTGAAACGTGAAGCTGACATGAATTTTAAAATTCTCGAATGGAAGTGAAACTATTCATGTTTGCGTATTCAACTTTCTATCATAAGGAAAAAGGTTAGCGTCAATGGAATTGCGGGAAAAGTTGCAATATCCCTCCAGTTAATGAACTTGCTGAAACTTAGCTATTTTTAAATGAAGATTCACAATCGTTTGCCAGCCATATTATAAACATATATAACTATATATTACATATTGCCAACCATATAATCGTTTGCCAGCACGACATATAAAATGATTAAAATGATATGAACCATATAAGCGTGACGTCTGAAAAATCCAACAAGATTTCATGATCTCGTCGCTGCAACTTCAAATCGTTACATGCAAGTTCAAAGTTGACATTTATGATCGGGGCGAGATATCTCTGTTACTATCTTGACCTCACGGGGCTAGGAACGTTGCTGGAGTAAAATTGCTATGTGTATTGCGATGAGTGACGAGTTCAGTGGGGGAAAAAAGTTTTCTGGATGGAGTGAAGTTTGACCTAATCCTTTAAATTAGGATGTTGTACAAGTAAGCCTTTGATGGCTGCGCTTCCATTCATCCTTGAACAGTTTATAGGGTTAACCATTCGCCCAAGTGATAGCTGTAATTACATTTATTAGTGTATGTTTTTTTAAACTTTGATGCTGATGTGTTTCAAAGGATAGAACGATGTTGAATATGACGTGCGTTGAACTGTTTTATATTGTAGGCGTTGAGGTTTCCTGTTCGGACATGTGAAATGTTGAGTTTGATGTTCAGCTCAATCGTTCAGGTGGTAACAGGATAATCTACGCTGCTGATCCTGATGGTCAATTATCTACCTTGCATAGCGTTTTTTGCCCGTTCTGGCGATGCTCTTCACAGTAGAAATACGCAGTTTGGAAAAGCTTTCCGTCAGTTTGGGATGCATTAACCTGTGCACAGAGCTACTTTTACTGGAAATTAGATTTCATTAGTTAGATTTGCCGCCGTTGTTGAAGTAAGTCGTGGGTGTGTACTCTTTACATAATGGGTTCTCAAAACTAAGATTCAAATTTATCTAGGCAGGGAGTTCTGATTAGTGAATAACTTGAGAGGGCTTATTGGAAAACCGAACTTTCTGACAAAGATAGTGGCTCTATTACCCGCTGCGTGAACTATAGGAGCAGCCGTAGACAGCCATGAACGTCTTGCGACCAAGGAAACTCTGCCTCCCTCCTGACGAGCGCTGGGCTAGCGGAAATGGCTGATACGCAGAGCCCTGGTTTCAAGCGCAAGGTTCTCAAGGGCCTTTACTTAGTAACTCAATTAGGTTCGTGGAAGAAAGATGCAGCCGAAGGGACTGGCATGGATTGTTTAGATGTAATTTTTATACAGGAAAAGGATATTGCTAGGCTGCCACACGAGCTGGTCGTAACGCGGTCGTTGCTTCATTGGGAAGGTTTCCTAGATTCCCTGATCAGTTATCAAATGACTCGTGGGTCAATTAATTGTTGTACGTCGGAATTGATTTGTCAAAATTGTCCTTAGAATCGTGGAGTGCAATTTTTAAGTTTGTATAACTCTCCCAATATATTATGGGGACAAGGGTTAGAATGACTGATTACTGGCAGTGAGATCCATTAGTATGAATGTAGAGCTCAATTAACAAGGTTTGCAATGTCTAGAGTAACTAGGGTAACAAGTCTGTTTCACTCGCAACTCTGTGGCTATGTATGGAATTAAATGGCCTGCAGTGTTTTCGTATATAGTAGGCTGAACACGGAAGCATGATTACGAATTATTGTTCTATAATGCCAGAAAGTCGAAATTTCATATTATTAAAGGATGAATCTTCAATATGGCTTGATTGTGATTGAGGCTCACTATCTTTTTACTTTTTTTGAATGGATACAATAGAGTTCGGTTTAGATTTAATGCGGGTGTACTTTGTAAGATCAGGCAATGAATATTTCTTGCAAGCGTGAGCAGGTGACGATAAAATGTCGGAGTCATCAAAAGAATAGGGCAAGCCTTGTTACTTCCTTGTTCGGTTGCTCCTTACTGCTTAGCACAACCATGCTAGTGGCTGATTACCATTTAATTTCTACGCTTTAATTGACACTAGGTATCTCCATGGTAGTGAATTAGAAGCCTCTAAATATATTTCTGAAATGATGCTATTATAGTTAAGGCACCGTGGTCTCCAAACCACTTGAGACTAGAAATTTTTATTGGACATACGCAAACCTGCAGTAGTTGTAAAAAGCGGCGACGGCCTTGGAAAGAACGGTTTGGAAAGATTCATGATACTCTGATAGATTGGACAAAACTAACCCGGCGTTGGCGTCAATTTCTAAAGCCAAACATGAGGTTTATTAGGCCAGTATTAGTAGACTAATGATCCGTAGAGTATACCTATACAGGTGAAAAGTTCCTTATTCATGCTAGTCTATAAACATCGATTTTCATTGACGTAAAATTGAATTTATTGTCGATTTCTCGAGGACATTTCTATGCAGGCCGTAGATAATTAATCGGGTGATGTTCACACGAGATACCGCGCTTGTTTCTTTACACAAACGCACCAACCATGACGTAATGTAATGATTCATGACGTAATAAGTCATGAATCGGTAACCTCGTTCTAAATAAAGTTTCTAAGCAGCTGAATTCTTTGCAGTAAATTTTGGTGGAACAATATTCAGTATTAACAGGTCCTGTAAATGGAAGGGTTCGACAAAATTAAATGGGCCTCAAATATTTTACTTGACGAAGGGAGTTAGTATGAGTGGCGACTGCACAAGTCAATACCGTTTCCAATTGAGTTTGTATGAAAATCTGTCTCGGCTGAGATCGTGTATCTACTCAGTGCAGCAATCAGTCAATGATAACGTGTGTTAGCAGTTTAGGTCCAATTATTAATTTCAGATATCAAATGCATAGAGGTTTCAATGCTCCCATGCGTTTCCCGTCTGTTCTTGTAAGCACGTGGGTGCTCGCGGAGATGTTCTTCTGAACTTCTGGCGTTGGCTGTGCCTGCTAGAGAGCGGACAGCCATGTAATGCGCGCGTTCAAGTAGTCCTGTTCAAGTACTGCATTCTTCAACTAGATAAATGTGTAGGGAGCTGAATACTAGCTTATCGAAGACAATTATTTAGATAGGATAGAAGAAGTCGTACAAAGAATCAATTGCTAGCGACGTACAACAGCTGCTGATACAGGAGTAGCAGGATAATGCAGCCTGTACAATAAACGACTGGAATTGACAACAAATGTACGTCAAAGGCAGCGCGTTCTTGCTCGCAGAGGATGAGGACTAGTTCGAAACTATAACATTAGTCAAATGTGCAAATTTAGTAGATTTGAAAACGCTAAATATTTGAAGTGTCTAACAATAATCTAGGATAGAACTTGCTTGATCACCGTAGCCCTCGGCTCTTTTCGCCAGCCTTTTCCCGCGCTTGTGATAACCGTCGATCCGACACCACGTGGTTCTCTCGGGGGGACTTGTCTCAGAACATTATTATTCCTTGTTTAATTTAGATGGTGCAGATTTAATTTGAAAAGCAATCAATCTAGTCAAATTATTTACATACGAATTTAAACATTGCACTGATGCATCTGCTTATGCCATTCACATTTCGGTAAAAATTTGACGTTGGTAAAATTATCGTTGTTTTGCAGCGATTTTTAGTTTGTAGGAGACAAGTGACTCTTCACCCACATGAACAGAATTCGACGCTCTACTAGAGAAACCTCCCAAAATTCAATATGGGAATGGTGGAATAAAGCGCCTATATTTAAATGACTAGTTTTCGAACTTAATATTGACGTAAAGTTGAATTAGTCCTAGTATTTTTATTTGGCCAGATATCAAGTTACTTGGAATAACGAGTTGTGCTTAACAAAGAAAATTTAGAACTACAAGCGCGGGAAATATTTCAAAGTTGGAGAAATGTTGCCGCAAGACATTTGGCAACGTCGACTAAGGGAACTTTTCCTGTAACAAAATTGTCATTCAAATTTTCAGATAATTTATAGAAATTATGAATTCATCTTAAAGACAGACTTGTTTAACTAAAAGTATATTCATAGAATATTTTATTTTGTACATCAAATTGAGAATTAAGTTCAAAAACGTTTGTGGCAACGTGTTCTTTGATTCTCTGCAGTGAAGAAACTGACCAATCGCAGCATAGCTCTAGCACCGGTGGGCGGAACGTTGTCGTATAAAATCGGTAACCGTTTTCAGCCACAGCTCAGTTGGAGTTCGATGTTCTTCGCTGTAGGTTGTGTGATAGTGGAACATTTGCTGTACCTTATCTTCCATCTCTTCCTGTGTAAAGTGGTGTCCTTAGTTAAGTCCCAATATCCGTATTCAGGAGTGAAGATTTGAACTGTAATTCCCGCCGAAAGACTGTTCCTAAAACGAAGTTAATGCCTGCCAACAGTACGTACGATTTGGGCACAATGGTAACAAACCCAAATCTTCCTCAATCAGCATCGCAAGCTGCTATGGACGAGAGAGCATACACCCTTGCAATGGAACTGAATTCAATAATGCAGCAGCAGCAGGCTGGCATTGAAAATGTGGCATCTTTCATGAACGTTTTCTCACACATGGACGAAACTAACCCGGCGTTGGCGTCACTTTCTGAAGCCGAGCGAAGGCGTTCACAAAACATGACTGAATGTGTGGCTGTGCCGTCTTCCGAGCATGTGGCAGAAATTGTCGGCAGACAAGGTAAGGGATCCTACAAGATGAAAGAATTATTTCGCCTATTAAAATAGTGGCAAATCCAAGTTAGCAATTTGGAGAAATGTAGATTTTTTGATAAGTTCATCTGCGATATTTTCATTTGATTTTTAATTTAAGTTGTGCTCATTGCTAGCGTTCCCCTCACCATGGCCATGAATGCATGTACCTAGGTACTATCAATGTTTGATGTTTGTAGTTGCAACATTTTCAAACGCTCATGATTTCTTGATTGATTTCGTAGCTCAGAGCGTTTCCCGAATTTTAATTATAGTGTGAAAGATATCGGTAGCCATGATACCTAACTTCTTCCAAAAAATTTTTAGAAAAGACTGATACGGAACTTGGAGCATTTTTCTTTGCCACACACACGGGTCAGTGCATAGTCAATAATGTCATGGCAGAGTTTATTTTAGACTCTTCCTCTAGTTCATTTCAGAGTTCTTTGTGTAGACCATTGACCAATGGAATGAAGTAGGATATGTATATCTATCAGCATTTTCATACTTAGTATATTGATTTAAATCTTGTCTAGACGAGATTAAAAATGTACAAGATTCTAAAAAATATGTGGTTTGAAAATAAGGGTCAGAGCACGTGTGTCTCAACTCTCAAGACGCATGGAGGCATGCGCGCCGCCATGACCGCGAAGTTTCTGGGCTGCAGCTAGTTTGCTGCAGCTATCTTGTGCTCTTCGGTTCAAGACGTTATTATCATCGTTACCTTCGAGTCGGACATAATTAGTTCGACAACTGTACATTAGTGCATTACTTACGTATAAATTTGTTTTGCACAAATTGGCAAACCTTATGTAAGCAATAATTATTAGGTATAAACTTCTGCCATTTCGCGTGTAGAATTGCATAGCTATGTCGATATGAATACAGCTACCTGATAAAATTGATCTGCACACAAATATAAGCAAGTTCAAATAGATCATTCATCGTAAGTAATGATTGCGTAGACTGTTTAAATTTTAATTCATATGTATTTTCTTCAGAAACTTCTGGAACTTCTTTCATTTTTTAACGCCAGCTGAAATTCGAATGAATGGATACTACAAAATGATGGAGCAGCTTAGTCTCCCTTGTTGTTGCCCCTTAGTTGTACGTTGTCTTGTGGAAGAACTCTGTGTTCTAAATAAAGAGTCTGAAACTCTGAATATTTGAACGTCAGAGGACAAGTTTAAAAACTTGCAATGAAGTACCATTGATTTATCCATGCTGTATATATGTTCTCCGAAACCGGTGTGCGAACGCATATCGAACTTGCTTTCTGAACTACTGCCAACCTGAGGCCTTGACCTCCATAGCTTCCATCCAGCTTTGTGCGTGCCCTCCTGCCCCATAGCCGCCAACCGCATGGCTCGACCAACACAAATACTTTCTAGAAATTGTATCCCATTGTGGCTTGCAGTATCTCGTTATGACTCTGCATCTCGCGTGCATTCAGCAGTGCTCTGAACTTTCCTTCTTCCCGTGGTGACCGAAATCGAAAGTGAAATCGCACTAACGCAGTTCCTTTTTTTTCAACAAGGAATCGGTTACTGTGCTACTGAAAGTTGTTGTACTGCATTTCACGAGATGATTCATGCCAAGAAATTGTAAGAAAAATATATAATTTAGGAAATATTAGACGCAACATCAGATTTCTTGGAGGTCTTCAGTCTTGTCTCTAAACTTCAATCAGTTTTACACATGAACTATCAGGCACATAGTTATGATAGTTTATAAGATGCAATAAATAATACATTTTTAAATGATGTAGGGAAGGTTTTCCGCAGCTTTTAACGAATGCGGTTTAGTGTTCATAGTGAGAGCTGTATATCCGTTGATGATAAATCCTGGTGAATAATAGAACACGTACGACAAAATTGGAAGCGAAAGCAGACAGGCCAGCCGTGTGGTTGTGGCACCGTATTGCCTTTTAGGGCAGCGGGTTGCCGGCGTGCCTGCCCGAGCAGTACGCCGTCCATGGTGCCTACTCCGGCACGCCCTTGCTGGTAGCCATCTTTTTGACCTTCCAAATACACGATGTTGCTTTCGCCCAGGAATTGTTGCTAGGCGATGCTCATAATTTTAGTGAATAAAGTGAGAATGGTATTCTGAAACTGGTTGTACGTTCCTATAAATCAAGAGGGTTGCTAGCGGCATGTGCATCGTTGATAAAGGTCTTCAATCACTTTGTAATAAGAAGATGCAACCAGTTTTGGCCATGGCTAATACAAATTGAAATTCTTGACCATGCAATCTTATTCTAACCTGTTGTCTGCGTGGCTTAATATCACTGAAAGATTTGAAGTCTGTCTTTGGCTTGCTTTTATTGCTTTGTATTCACATTTTCGGAGCCGGAATATGGTTAAGGGCAGACCGGCTTGGCCTGTGATGTTAGGCCGGCGAGGCCTTGACCGCGTTGCGGCGTCTGAGTTTCGAAGGCTGCCGGCGCGACCGTAAGGCTCGTTGCCTCGGCCTGGCTTCTTAAGAGACTCGCACACTAGAATAGGTTATATAGTGGATTATATTCCACAAGTTCATATTCGTACTCTAAAAAGCGAATTTCCGTAGAAAGTTGCCTGAAAATGCAGCATGGCTTAACTTGATGTCTCATGCAAATTGGTAAAACTGGCTTGCAATGGAGGAATCGACACTTGGAACAGTATTCGTATACCAAGATCCGAATTCAGTTGAGTTTCGTTAGCGTGCAGTCAGAGGTGCTTGCCCGCGTGTCGCCACAGTTTTCGTCTTCGTCAGGCTGCTAATTTTAACTACCAAGGAAGGGGTTCTGCGCTCCCTCAATGCTGCCCTTCGCTCTTCCGCTCTCAACACACGGCAACCATTCACGAAACTACTCGGTAAAGTTAATACTTGCACATCCTCGAGCTTGAGAACTGAAGAGTTCTACGTGAATAGGTTATATATATAATTCTGTGGATACTTGTGTTGCAGGGCATGTTGCGTTTGTGGCCATGGTGCCGATTTTTAAAGTTACATTGAACGTGAAACCACTAACTTGTTTCATTTTAAGAGTACTGCTATATCATTTTCTATAATTTCAGGTAAACATGTCAAATTAAGTTTCGTTGCAGTCGTGTTGCAACGAGATTTCCTTGGATCGTGCTGTCCATGCAGAATCGGAAGTAGGCGATTCAAACCAATTGACCCAATGAATCGTAGTCGCAGTAAATCACCAATTTCTGGACTTGGTTTAGGACTTATGGCGCTTCACTCGATTTCCGGGTCAATTTCTTCAATCGGTTTATTTATTAATTGTACGAAAGTTGTACGTAGCATCATATTTGTTACTTTCTCGAATAAGACCACTATAGAACCGGTACCGCTCTACTTAGATTGCGGCTCTAAACTTTTGATCTCGCATGATCGTGTTAGGGTCGTGGTTTACGGCATAGAAGGCAATCTCCCATCTGGTGAGGCTGGGCACATGCCGCTCGTGCGCAACGTTAGGGCTAAAGGATCTAGTCTAGAATACTTTGGGAACTTGTCTCGAGAGTTATCAAAGTCCTCAACGTTGAATGGTTTTCAATTGGAAGGTTGATTGAAAGTTAAGGAAGACTGGATTAGTTTTCATTTATGACAATTTATCGTGCATTACGCTAATATGGCAGGTGGGAATTGTGGGATCAGACAAGAATTGTGCTGCTGTTGTGGCCGTGTAGACGTGCGGCAGCATCTCCATCTTCCGCCGAGGTGGAGCGCACGATCGTCCGTGGGGTGCCCGGAGCTTTGTTTAGACTACAGCTTGTTTGTGTCACTGCTGACATCAAGCAAGGTAGCGACAGAACCTCGACTACCGTAGCTATTACCTCGCCAGAAGTTCATCGGTATAGACATTAGATGTCAGGCTGTCTACGTTATGGGTTAAATTTTAACTCAATTTTGCACAATTATCGTACGGTTGTTGATACTTGAATTAATGACAGCCATGGAAACTTGGATGGACTTAGTGTGCCGCCTACTATTAATCTTGAAGCAGGAACATAATGTATTTCTTTGCCGTCATACCATATGCACGTTAATTTTTCAGTGCTCTGACTCTTGGACAGGGCAAATTTATGTGCCATTTTGACTCGAGCTAATTGAAAGCGACATCTTTCTTTTCATACTATACCGAAGTGTGCTTATCATAGTTGGCGTCTCGCTTTTGTTATCTGATAAGTTTACGAACTCGTGCTGCACAACGAATGATAGGGTTGCGTATTTCTTCTCATGGACCAAGAGCTAGAGGAAATTTAGTTAACATACTAGTAAACGAAAAATTGCATATTCATTTGGGTACAATTGTAGAACAATCGAGCTGCCATGATCTGGTTCTGAATGTTCAGTTTATCAGGAGTTTGACTTGGGTCGGTCAAGCAGGCGCGTGAATTCATGCGAAGGAAGCTAGCATCCATCACGATGATAGGGGCTACCGGTCTGCAGAGCTCGTCGGGGTTCTAGGGGTGGAGGAAGTGTGACTGACTAGAGAACTTCCTGTGAGCTTCTCTTTTTGCCCAGAGAGCTTTTGTTTCGATGTCGTCCGTTGGTTCTTTGTGAAGAGCGCCTGGACTTTCTCGCTCAGGCTATTAGTGAGATTACTGCTGCCCGATAGGCGGGACCGAACCACCATTTAATTACCCAAGTTATCATAATTTACTCCAGACTTCTATTTCTCGTCAATCGAGCGCTATATAGATGGACTATTTTTAAAACCAAATTTATACCATCTGAAGTAAGATTCCGAATAAAGGCGTATCAGTAGATTTACAGTTCTTTGCATATACTGAAAAACGACCGTCTAGTCTAGGATTTATCAGGGAAGGTTCTGAATTCATTCTAAACACTTGAAAGGAAGCTAGGCATGGTCCAACAACAGCTGCTCCTGCCTGAAGGCAACGTGATACCCTACTTCAGCGGGCCTGAGCTACGGCAGCTAAGTTGGGATGTGGTTGTGAAAAATGCGAGTAGATTTGGAAGTTTCATCAAAATCAGAAT